AGTAAGCCCTATCATTTGCACCCTGGCCCCAGCTCCTTCCTTACATAGCTGTCACACTCTCCTGTGAACTTCCATCACTAATCTCTTTCTGGGTATCTGATTTCTGGCTGTGCTACCAGGATTAGAACTTTCTCCATTAATATAAGGACTCTCTTCCAAAGGCCCTTCCAAGTAGGCTAGCCCTTGGCTTGTAAGGCCTATAGGAACAGAGGGATAATGGAAAGAAAATTACATAAGGAAATATGATCAGATTTGAGATCCTTTAAAAGAAACTTTGGACTTTCTTTGTAAAAATATATTAACATTTGAGATTCAAGGTGTCCAAGTGTGGGATTTTTTTACACCTTAATTCACTATGAATTCATCACTTTTTCACATACTCCACACATCAGATGCAGTGAGGAAAAGATATAGAGTTTAGAATTTCTGTCTTTATTGCTCCAGGCCATGGATACATGCTGAATCTGACTGGTGCTAAAGGAATATAATATTAACTTAGGTATCAGAATTAGAAAGGTCAGACCTCCCAGATTTTTCTGATATAATATGCTGTGCCTCTGAGATGTACAGATAAAATCAAGAGTATATTTCATCAGACACTTGAATCTCATTTGAAAACTTGTGTGTACTTGGTTCAGGGGAATATTCTGGAATAAAACCCTATGTGCCTCTTAGCTCTTTCCTTTCTTCTCAGGAGGGAGGAACAGTGATTATAGCTCATTGAAAGTTCTCCTGCTGCAGTTTAAAGCTATTTGTTTTTTATTCCCTCTTCAAGCTGAGAACAGCTCATTGCTATTTTCTATTCAAAACTCCTGAAGGACAATTGTTAGTAGAACCATTCCCAAGCTTCTCTTTTAACCCTACAAATATATTCCTTCAAACGTTAATCATTTGTTTGGGTTTCCAACATTTCAGTATTCCTCTCCTGACCACCCCCTGGGCAATATGTCTTTCCCACTTATCTTGGACTGTTGTTCCCAAATAAGAACAGGGCCAATATAAAGGGAGAATTAGAGAATGTGGCTCCCTCTCAGCTTTCTCTCTGGATGACAATAAATGCACTAAAACTTCACTTATCAAACTTTTAATGAGTAGTATGGAAACGTGTTTAGGAGCACAGGGTTGAGAGCCGTATTGCCCCATATTTCCCAGGTCTGTCACTTCACCAGCTGAGTGATCTTGGGCAAATTATTTACTTAACTTCTCTCTGCCTCATTTTCCTCAACTGTAAAATGAGGATGCTAATATGTCCCTTGAGTTAGTCTAAGGATTAAATTAATGTAGCATATGTAAAGCTTTTAGGACAATACCTGCAAATATAAACTATTTTAATTATTATCTAATTTTCAAAATCAAAAGTTGGTTTTTGCATCATGATCCATACTGGAGGCTTATTCTAAATTCTACATATCCCATTTATAGCACTTAAAATGCCAGCTTATTGTATTATCATCTTGCTTCTAATCAACCTGGCATTTTTCTCCTAGAAATGTAAGGTATGAGTATATCACTGTTCATGATTCCTTTTTCTTAAAATTATCATTCCCCTGGAGTTCCTAAGCCCCAATTGCCTTAGCTCTTCAAGTTGTTATGATAAAGCAAAATAATGTTTTTGTGTGATGGGTTGTAAGTGGATTGACTAGTTATCTACGTTTCCCTGGAACTGAGGGGTTTCTTAGGACATGGGACTGTTACTGCTAAAACTTGGAAAGTCTTGGGCAAACCAGGGTGGTTGACTACCCTAGCTGTAAAGATATTACCTAAGGTGGGTATACAAGAAGGAAAAGAAGCAGCAGAAGTAGCATTAATCTCATCAAATACAAAAGAGTTCTTAGTACACCACCAGTGTTCCCTTGATTTTTGACTCATGCAATCTCTGATGAATATCTCAAAGGTGAAATTGCACTGAACTAATTAATTCTAAATGTCAGGCATTTATTTGGGATTCATTTTTTTTTTTTTTTACGTTATCATCATCTGTGGAATATATTTCATCTCCTTCATATTATGTTATTCTTCTCTCTGATCATTTTGTGCTTGTTCCTTTTCTTTTAGGTCAACTCAAATCAAAACATACTCTTGGGATAATGCCCAGGTTATTCTGGTTGGGAACAAGTGTGACATGGAAGACGAGCGGGTCATCTCAACTGAGAGAGGCCGACATTTAGGAGAACAGCTTGGTAAGAAGCAAATTAACAAATTAACCAGAAAGAGATCTTGGTTCTTAGTTGTAACACTGTACAGAGTCCCAGCTAATTGTCAGGATAGGATTAATGAAAAGTTTGTCAACCTGACAGTTGGAAGCAGCACATCCTCCATAGGGAGATAGTGGCTTTCTTCCCATTTACTGTGGTATCATTAGAATTCAAGTGCAATTACAGAAACAAAAATGATACCTAGAATTTTGGCCTTAATACAAGGTATTCAAATTCTTATTCCATAAGAACATAGTTTATGTCCTGGGACTATTTCTTTGGCTTTCTTCTCCATACACAACATTTTGCATGGAGTGAGCCTCTTATTTTATTGTGTGATTATTGTCGTCAAGTTTACATTGGAAGAGGATGATGGAATAGAATAGGATATATCCTCGATTCTGGTTCTGGGAATATCACTGATAAGCCATGTCACTGTTACAAACCTCTTTAAGACTCAATTGCCTCATCTCTTAAGAACGAGTACCATAACCCATGCCTACTTAACCAAATCCTTATAGATAAGATCAAGTGAGGTAATAAATATGAGAGAGCTGAAGAAAAGCAGTAATTTCAGACACAAAATATTGCATCTAAAGAGAAAGATCCTGAAGTGAATATGGTAGAGTTTCAGTGGAAAGGAGGGATTGATGATTGATTGACTCAAGACATTTTTACTGAGCACCTATTAGATGCCTTCCATTGTGCCAAACATCATGGGGTTACTCGAGTCCCTGGGCTCAAGTTGCTTTCAGTCAAGTGGGGAGACTAGAGATACACACAAGAAAGCAGAAAGAACGAGACAACAAAAACAGGCCAATGAGAAGCTGATGAGCTAGAAGGCAGATGCCAAGAGGAAAGCAACAGGGAGAGGGAGGCAGACCCAGGGAGGGAGAAGACATTGCTAAAGATGTGGGAGTGGAGTGTGATAGGAGGCAGACACGGAGCAGAGAAGACAACTGGAGAGCTAAGACGTGGAAATGGGCAGCACCACAAAGAAGAGGTGAGTGGTGGGAGGAGATGGAGAAGCTGTGGGTGAAGTGGCTTGAATGGTCTCTGAAGGGAGCAGAACTTGAAACTACAAAAGACAGGAGGCATTAGGAGGAAAGGGCACAGGGGAGCATGGACTCTGAGATGAGCAAAAGTTGAGAGGACAGTAAGTAGAAAAGTTAGAGCCTAGCACAAAGTTGCAGAAGTGAGTTGTAGGTTTGGGGAACAATCCCAGCCCTAGAGTGAAGGAATCGGAATTCTTTGTTCATTTTTTTCTGTAGACCACTGAGAACATTGAGCAATTCTTAGCAGAGTCTGACTTTCCAACCTTTTTGGCCAGGACCTGGAATAAGAAATACATTCAATCTAGCAACTCAGTGCATAAATATGTAGAGAGAGCAATTGAAACAAGTTTCACAAAACACATTTTAACTTTTGCTGAGATTCACTGTATTTTCCATCTTAATCTCTTTCTTCTTCTTCTTTTTGTTTTAATGATGGTCTCAACCCGCTAAGTTGATCCCCAAACCCAGTAATGTGTCTCAAATTTGAAAAACACTGCGATGAAGGGGGTGATTTGGGATAAATAGGAAAAGCAAAGACCCTCTCAATGGGTCACTCTTTCCCTTGGTAATCTCATAAATGAACTATGTACAGTCCACTCTGAAAGCCTGACCATCTCCTCATGAGATTAATGAGCTCATTAGACTAAAAGCTATCACTGGATGACCATAAGAACCCTTCCACCAAATGTTCTTAGAGCACCCCTGGTGATCTAGAGCTGATGTATGGTCTCGGTGTGGCTGTTCTTGAGCCTTTATCTTCTCTGTCATAGGGCCTCTTCCCATTCCAGCAATTAAACAATGTTTTAAGAAGTTTGAAAAACTTGGAAATCTTTCTTTAGTCCTCTTAGTACCTCAGAAAGATAGGAAAGGAGAATAGTAGATCCCCAAGGAAAGAGAGAAAGGAGACCTGGGTGAGGGTTGGCAGGATGGCTTCCTGAGGCTGCTTTATCCCCCCTGTGTTTTCTTAACTAGCCAGGTGCATACCATGTGTGGGAAGAAATTGCTACTGAGATGTAGGCTGTCTGTATAAATACAAATGAAAACTGTTTTGTTCCAAGACAAATAGATCAGAGCCAAAAATTGTTTAATGGCATTGGTACAAAAGAGGCAAGTAACCACCTACATTTTTTACCACTCTGATAAGTTACTTGGGTATTGAGAAGAGCAGGTTATGAAAGGGGATGTTAGAATGACGGCAATGCTTCAAGAGTGACTTTCCCTACGACTCCACTGATGGGCACACACAAACCCTTGTCGTTCAGTACACAGATGTGGCAAAGTTCCTGAAACTGTGAGGCAGAATGTTTTATGCTCCTGTGCAAGTTCTTCCAATGGTTTCTAATTGATTTTTTGCTCTCAATTCAATAAAAAAAAAACCCAGCTGTTGTCATAGCAACCAACACATGTGCTTTCTTGGAGAGTCATTTACCTCCTTTTATGTGGTTTGGTCTCCTCATGACTACACACGCTTCTACAAACGATCATGAGAGAGCATTTTGTATTAAAAAAAACCACGCTTACAATCTAAATTTAAAGATTTTAAAGGTCTTTGCTTTGTTTTTTAAAATTACTGGTAAAATTCCTTTCTCTAGAATGTCATCACATATACACAAGGATTAGGCATTGTTTTGTTTTTAAATGTCATTACCACACGTTTGCAGATGGCTCAAAATAACTGCTTTACCGATCTGGTTACAATTAATTCTCCATTGTGGATTGTTATATCCATTAATTTGCTCATTCTAATGAAAGTTCCTGATGGAACCAAGTTGTAGCTTAGCTCTTTAAAATTCTTGTATGGCAGCTGCCCTTGCCAATCAAATTTAGTTCCCCAAACATTTATCAAGTGTTTACAATATGCCAGGTACTGAGAATGGAATGAAAAATAACCCTACCTCCTAGGAGCAAACAATGAGCATTTTTCTGGCCCTCCCTTTCCTGGCCATTTTGTTTTATTGGGTCCTGTTGAGCACCCTCTCTGTCACTTTGGCTTCTATGACATGGTGCACTCTGTTCTCCTCCTCCCTCTCCAGGCACGCATTCGTTTCCTTGGTAGAATCCTCCTCCTCTTTCTATCTCTTGCACTTTGGCTTTCTACCCTTGCCTACCACTCTTCTGGCTCTACACTCTCCCTTGGATATTTCCATCCATTCCAAGGTCTTAACTCCACCTACAAACTAATGACTGCCTTGGCCTCACGCTGGAGTTTCAGAGACCTACATTCACCTGCCAGCTGTGTGTATTCACTGATTTAGGGTGGTCATCTAATCACCTGCAGCTAAATCAACTGAGAGGTTCTTCTCCAAATGCACATTCACCAATATAAACTGAAGCCTGCTGCATCAGAGTTTTTGAAGTTGAAGCCTAAGTTATACATTTTTAACAAACACTTTTGTGACTTTTATATAATAGTCAACTTTTAGAACACTGGTTTGCACGTTAGGATAATGATGAGCTTTGGCAACAATTCCTGACTCTCTCCAAAAACTCCCTATCACTGATATTATTTTCCAATGGGTGTTTTTAACATTTAGTCTATATGTAGGTACCTATAATAATATATAAGAATGTTTTGTCATTTTTATTTTATATTAAATTTATAATATGGCAATAATATATGCAAAATCTCATAAGTTTTAAATGTAAAACTATAAAATGTTAAATGAGAAAAAAATTGAGATATATAATTAGACATACAAGTTTTTCTAAAATAGAAGTAATTTATCTGGGAATAAGAACAAAGAAAGAAATTCATGGAAGGGAATGGATTTGTATTGCCTTGAAATCACAGGTGGAAGAATACTTGAACCATTTCTATAAGTTCTGAAAGGGCAGAGAGTATAGGAACTACTAAGCTTCCCAAAGATGTAGTCAGAGAGACAAACACTATAGATAAACTAAAATTGCTTCTGAGGAGAATTGATTATTAATAATTTGTAAGGAGCTAGTTTTGAAGTGTTTTAAATTTGCATTAATATTTCTTCCTATTACCAATTACTCTTCCTTCAAATAAGTTTCATAATATCCTGTGGATGTACGTACTAATCCCCTGCATTTGCCTCCTTGTCTAGCACAGAAACCCCATGAGAATGTCTGAAAACCACAAAACATTCTTACACTTTGCCATCTCTCCAAGCTATACAATTTGTCTCCCCTTCTTTTCCCATTTAATGACTTTTTTGTTTTGATTATTTGTCTGACAAATATTTATTAAACACCTACAGTGATATTGGGAAGTCATAAAACATGTATCTTCCCTCTCACGGAGCTTGAAGTGTGGTCGATATATTAGTGTATGTGTATACTCAAGTGTTACAGACACGTTAGCAGGGCTGGGAAACATCACTACCAGTGCAACTTGAAGGATGAAAGAGGGGCATGGAGCTCTATGAGTGAGGAGTTGCTTCTATTTTAGGAATATGAAGACTGACAAAAAGACACATTCTGTATCTATCACATTTCTACTCCATCAAGGGTAAGAGTTTGGGCATCTTGGAAACAACATGTCTTCAGTGAATGAAACATTATAGCCCAGTCAGAAGAGCCTACCTCCTTGGATTTTAGTGACCATGCTTCTGATTTCTGCTGAGTGACCCCAGGGTGCCTGACTTGGAACTCTGACTCTGGGATTCTCTGATTTGTTCCCGTGAACCTTTTAGTGTAAACCACCCTGGTCTCTCATTGCCAACCCAGGCAAGAGAGAGAAAGGCAGTGACTGCAGTGTGAATTTGTATAGTCCTGGGAACCCTGAACTTTTGGATCCATGTGGTCTGACCCTAAGCAGCCAGATTCTCTTTATGCATTTTCCACTGAGGAAATTTAAAATAGCAGCATCACACCTTCCCTGCCTGCTAAGCCACACTTCAATCGGCACACCCTTGAGTTACACAATAGGTCTTAACTGAATTTAGTTTTCTGTCTTAAAGTCCA